TTCTAGTGATAAACATTAAATAATTATTTTATTTTATTTTATTTTATTTTAGTTTAGTTTAGTTTAGTGAAAGGATAAACTAAATATTTCACTTGGTTAACTGAACTGTTTTATATTTCAGTTTATTTTATGTTTATACATTTTTATATCGTTAAACAGAGGAGAAATGTAATAAAATATATAATTTTTTTCTTTGATTATGTTATCGTCTAGTAATAAACATCAAATAATCGAAGATTTTTTTTTTTTTTCAATTTATTGTATTTTTATCATTTTATTTGATTTAATATAGTTCAAATGCTAACAGTGTAGTGTTAAACATAAGTTGACCAATGTGCTTTACATCAGTTAATGCAAAACCTAATGCAAAAAAATAATAACAATAATGAGAAAATTTATAAGAATAGGACTAGTGAAAATAGCAACAATAATAATAAAGATCACTGGCATCAAAGTACTACCTTTCGATCTCTCTGACTGGTCAAAAGCCAAAGAAAGAAGTAGTTTTGAAATGAGTCCGGCTCGGAGCACTTTTAATGTGTATTGGAACGGAGCGTGTGTTTCTGCAGTCAGTAGGCGGTCAGCACGTAGAGATAAACATTTTGTATGTAATATATCTTCTTTTAATGTTCCATTTTTTTCTTCATCATCATGCAGTTATTGTTCCTGTGTGCGTTTCTCCTCCCAGTGGAAATTCCCTCTCCAGGAGAGCAGAGGTCACTGCGGCGGCCACTATTAATCCTACCTACATCTTAACAACATCACTTCCTGCCATCTTTGCAGGCATACCTGACTGTTTACTGGTGCCAGAGTGTGTCAATGCCCACGTGTGTCAATGCCCACACACACACACACACACACACACACACACCTCAAGGCCTCCGATGTGATTTTCCATTGCTAAGAGTGTGTCTATTCATTGGCTCTCAGACTAACGGCTGTATGTCAGTACTAATGTCTCCATTCGGCAGAATGGGGGACCATAAAACTCAGACTCCAATCCATGTGCTGCTCATTATTTTCAGCGAGGGCGTCCCATGGGAACTGGTTGGAGGGAGGCAATTTGCATTCATTGTGCCCATTTGTACAAGTAATTCGTGGCAATCTGCTGGCCTCTTGCTGATCTGCTCTTTGAATCAACATTTTCTGCGGTTTGATTTATTCGGCGCGGGCTTTGATGTTGACATATGAATCTTTTAAGGGCACGATGGCAGTTGCCCCTAAATACTGGAACTTGTTCAGTGATTTGTCAAGAGCTTAGGTTTGTGTTTGGGAAAGCTGCGCCCAGACCAGCTTTTCTTGAATGGGGTGCAAAATAAGGTCTGAAACTCTAAATATATATTTCACATGGTCAGAAAATATTGAATGTGAAACTCAGTGGAAAAGGTCAAACTTATTTTTTTGTTTTGTTTTGTTTTGTTTTGTTGCAACCCTGGAAACTAATTTTGGCACTTCTCAGTTTGTGAGATTCTTTAAAAAAATAAATTAAAATCAAACATTAAACACATATTTAAGTTTCACAACATTGTTGAGTTTGACAAATACAGTCAACAGTACAATTTGTGTAGAAATTTAGAAATTTGATTTAAAAAAATTCAGCTTTCTGAATTTTAAAGAATGTTTTTTTTATTTTTTTATTTATTTTTTTATATTTTTAATAATGTCACAAAGTTGATGTTGACATATGAATCTTTTAAGGGCACGATGGCAGTTGCCCCTAAATACTGGAACTTGTTCAGTGATTTGTCAAGAGCTTAGGTTTGTGTTTGGGAAAGCTGCGCCCAGACCAGCTTTTCTTGAATGGGGTGCAAAATAAGGTCTGAAACTCTAAATATATATTTCACATGGTCAGAAAATATTGAATGTGAAACTCAGTGGAAAAGGTCAAACTTATTTTTTTGTTTTGTTTTGTTTTGTTGCAACCCTGGAAACTAATTTTGGCACTTCTCAGTTTGTGAGATTCTTTAAAAAAATAAATTAAAATCAAACATTAAACACATATTTAAGTTTCACAACATTGTTGAGTTTGACAAATACAGTCAACAGTACAATTTGTGTAGAAATTGAGAAATTTGATTTAAAAAAATTCAGCTTTCTGAATTTTAAAGAATGTTTTTATTATTTTTTTATTTATTTTTTTATATTTTTAATAATGTCGCAAAGTCATGTTATAATTATTTTATAATAGAAAAATATTTAAGTTTCACAACATTGTTGAGTTTGACAAATGCAGTCAACAGTACAATTTGTGTAGAAATTGAGAAACAGGATTTAAAAAAATTCAGCTTTCTGAATTTTAAAGAATGTTTTTTTTTTTTTTTATATTTTTAATAATGTCACAAAGTCATGCGAACACAGGTTTGTCTGCAAATGTGGGACACAGCTAAAATAAAATAAGTAAAAAAAAAACATTTTTGAATGTAACAAGTGAATTTTTGTTGTTTTTGTCTTGTTTTTTCAAAAATGTCAAAATTATAATTTATTCAAAATGATGATGTTGAACTATTTATTTGTTATTCTATTTTATACAGTCTACAAGGACATGAGGTGGAAAAGACCAAAAGCTTGATTTGATGTGTTTAAAAATACCATCTTTTTCTGCAATGCTAATTTTATTTTAAATAATACTTCATGTAAAGTATCTAACATTTCTGACAACATACAATTAGTCCCTCAAACACCTTTAAAAAGTAATGGGACACCTAAAGTGTACCCTACTCATAGAAAGCGGTGATTAGCGTCAGCTCCAGACTCCAGTGTGAACTGATTGATTGGGAGTGACCTGACGTTTGTCTCTGAGCAGGTGTCCCGCGGCCAACGCTGAGCTGGCACCGCAAGGAGGGTCCGCTGGGCGCCAGCGCTAGTCCTCTCCCGGACGGATCTCTGCTCCTGAGAAACCTCACACCACCAGACTACGGCACCTACTCCTGCGTGGCTGCCAACAGCATTGGAAAGTCGGTGGCCTCCAGCCTGCTGCGTGTGGCGGGTGAGTAGCGATTCCCACAGCAGCCGTATGTCAGTCCACACTTCTCCGGGTGACAGGGAAATCCTCACACGACAGCATTTCGGTGCTAAGTGAACCGCACTCTGTGGGTTGGCTCGGTTTCCCACAAAGTCAGCGAACTCGGCGAGAGATTTGCGAGTGGCTTATTGCTATTGGCATCGTTTGGCACGTCTTGTTGAGAAATAATGTGAGACCTACAGACTGTAGGGGTGGTAAAATCCATTTTTGCAGTGGAATGAAGAAATATTCCCTTCTTTGTAGAGGCCGCTTGTCTCTGGAGATCTTATAGGCCACAAACAGAAGGCAGCCGAGGCCTTGTTTGGCCTCAGATGACACAACTTCCCACCGTATTTCATTGAGGTCATTTCTGTCTCCATCACGGTCGAAACGGGCTGTAATCTCTCTGCTGATTGGGAAAAAGCTCTAACTAGGAGTAATAATTCAGCCACTTGAGATTGTTCAACCATCAAAGGAATAATCTTTACCTGTAGGAATGCTTTGGTTGATTGCATTTGATGGTGAGATGTTTGATGACACAGTGCTGTCTTGATGCCAGGAGGAGCTGTGGGTGAATCTGAGCACCAGGTTTCAAAGGAGATGAATAGGAAGAGGGTTCTGATGGCCTCTGTGATCGGCACCAGCGTCACGGTCAAACCTGGAGATACCTTGAGGATAGGTACGGCACTTTCATGTTGTTTAAATGATACACTCTTAAAAATAAAGATTCCAAAAGGGGGTATTTGCAGCAACACGGTAGAAGAATTATTTTGGGATCCCCCCCAAAAAAATTGTCTTAGTGTGAAGAACATTTTATAATCTAAAGAACCTTTTGTGGAATGGAAAGATTCCATTGTTGTTAAAGGTTCTTCATGGAATGGTCAATGCCAACAAATAACCTTTATTTTTAGGAGTGTATGAGCTTGTTTTGAAATTTAAACACCATATTATTAGTCTTACCTACATAATTTGCCATTTTTTGGTGCGTGTTAAGGCTTGTGTCTTGTAGTTTCATGGGACTGTATACTAAGTATTTTCACACATAAAGAAAGTAATATTGTTTATCACAAATACTTTTCTCATTTATAAATCACTTTGAATAAATGAAAAATCAGTAAATGTAAATTTTATTATATTGTATTATTATTATTAGTAGTAGTACTAATTATTATTACTCTTATTATTAAGATTATTTATTCATAATGCAATGTTTTCCATAGTGTCATTTGTATTATTTATTGTTTTTTAAAAAGTTTTAGTATGCGTTATTTTAGTACATTGTAAAACTAAGTGAAAATGAGAAATGTTGCTTTGAGAACATGGTGAAATAAAAATAAGTTTATATTATTTTATTTCAGTTAATCTTTATTTTATTTCAAGTAACTGAAATGCTTGTATGGTTTTTGTTAAAAGCACTCAAGACGCAACACTGCATAAGATTTTAAGACAAGTTTTCAAAGAATGTGTATTTTTTGTTCATGTTTTTTGTTGTTGTTTTACCTTGTTTTGCAGAGTAAATGTATCTTATTTCAAGGATTTTAAGATATTTTACCTGGATAACAACTTGTTAAAAACATGTTGATAAAAACATGTTTTTTTGCAGTGAATAGATGCTTTTTTCTATGACATAAACATGAATTGTTAGCTGAATAAGTCCTAGAGTTTACTGTAGTGTTCGTCAACCTGCACAGCCGCTGTAGCCCTTATTCTTATTTCTCTGTGTGTGAGAGTTCAGATTTCCAGTTAGACTGTTTTGATTGAGTTTAAATGCTCTTTTTAGTGCATGTTTTGCACACTTCAGTCAATAAATGTCTTGTTTTTAAGACTAAATGACAGGAGACCTCAACCCCTTTTCCTCTTAAAATTCACCCGTAACCCCCTTCAGGTTGCCCGGTGGTCCCCAGTCACAGGAAGCCCATCAAGTGGTCTTATCAGAACCAGACCCTAAAGCAGAGTCCAGGCGTGAGCTACCGCATGCTGGTGGGGGGACGAGCTCTGGAGATGAACACGCACGGAGGGAGGTTTGACGGACGCTATGAGTGCCAAACACAAACCAACGACCAGCAGCGTCTCACAGCTTGGATTCATGTGCTTTCACAAGGTTAGTGTATGTATGCCCTTGGAAATACATATTCATTGTGCAATGTGCATGTGTACAGTATGCATGTATGGATAGCCAGATGATCTGCTGTATTTGCCAACATGTGTGCAGCATGCAACAATGCTGATTTTACACTAAACGTGCCAAATAGTTTTTGGGGGCTTTTTTCCAAATCCTAGTGAGCTGCCTCTGTAGGCAGCATTTTCAAGCATCAGATGCACACTCTTGGTGTTTAATATTAAGATACATTAGTTTTTTAAGCAAGCAGCATCACATATATCCTTAACAGATGAAGCAATTCATTGTGACAAACTCATATCATCAAAGCTTTCAGCATAAAGCAGAAAAAGTCCTCGTTTCTATATATTGAAGGGAAAAAAACTGTTATTGCAGAGAAAGCATGCAGGATCTCTCTCTATTTCTCTCTCTCTCTCTCTCTATATATATATATATACAGTGGGTACGGAAAGTATTCAGACCCCCTTAAATTTTTCACTCTTTGTTCTGCAGTGAATGGGTGCTGTCAGAATGAGAGTCCAAACAGCTGATAAAAACATCACGATAATCCACAAGTAATCCACACCACTCCAGTCCATCAGTTAACATCTTCTTAAGCAAAAAGCTGTGTGTTTGTACAGATTTATCATTAAGGCGTTTGGTCATTGAACCATCACTTCTGGACAAAATATTGAGTCCATAATACATAATAACGCTTCATCCAGTGAAAAAGTCCATCCCCTGTTGTCCTCTCACATCATAATCCTCCAACATATTTGTTTAGAACAGTTTGGACTGTTTTCCCTTCTGTTTGATCTGTGCATATTTCTCTCCTGATTCAGACAAGATGACTTTTTCACTGGAGATAGCAATATTATGAATAAAGGACTCTAATCTGATAGATTCTTACAAACAAGCAGCTTTTCACTTCACAAAACAGGATAGACTGGAGTCGTGTTATGGATTATTGTGATGTTTTTATCAGCTGTTTGGATTCTCATTCTGATGGCACCCATTCGCTGCAGAGGATCCATTGAGGAAGCGATGCTAATGTAATGATAATTTCTCCAAATCTGTTCTGATGAAGAAACAAACTTGTCTTAGATGGCCTGAGAGTGAATACATTTTCAGCAAATTTTCATTTTGAGGTGAACTATTCCTTTAATAATATGCAGCATTTGTCAAGATGGCATAGTCAGCATGTTAGCAGAGGAAAAACCAATCTGGATTGGGTGCAATGTGAACAAATCCATAAAAACTGTCATGTTGTGCTATCAAACCTACTGTATAATTAGTCCCGTTCTCTGACCGTTAGCGATTCTGAAGTCAGACACAGTGACAGCCGCTCCGTCTTTGATAAACGAGTGTCTGCTGATGGATCTCTCTATAGACTTTAATCTAAAGAGAGCAGAACCCTTTACAAGTCTGCGAGCCGTGATGCATTTGACTGCGAGCAGCACCCCGGTCCTCTGATTCCCAGCCAAAGTGCCTCTCTCCATCAAACAGCCCATCTGTCATTCCCTTCCCAGCATCAGTCTTTTCAGGGGCCGTGCAGACGCTCAACCAAGCACATGAATCAAACTGTATGAGTCCAATGGGGCCGGAGAAGAGCAGATATCAGCTGTCAGTGTAAAAGAGCTTCTTTTTGTCAGGTCTGGCCGGAGAAATCCCTGTGGGTTTTTTACCATTTCGACACGATACAGAGAAATCAGAACATTTAGAATAAAAAGTATTGTGAAAATTATCTTTATCACCAGAATCAGAAATTAACTTTTTTGATTAAGGGGCAATATTTACCCGCTTTATTTCCAGGACTTTTTTTTTTAAAGGGGTCATATGATGCTGCTAAAAAGGTGTGGCTGACTCTTAACTTTTATAAAGAATATCTCTTTGGATTTGAGACTTTAGTCTTTGCAACTTTACAGCTCTTCTTTATGCACCAAGAGCTTGTAACACTCCAAAGAGAAAGGAAAAATTGAAATCGCATCATATGACCCCTTTAAGGAGAATTTTCATATTTACCTTTATTAAATGTGTCTGTGGTGACTTTAATGTTAAATACTTAGATGTAACCATAACCAATTATTTTAATCAATCATAATGCTACACAGACTGTAACCAAAGGGATTTTGTCAACATCAACAAATGCCTTCTTTACACTGCAAAGATTGAACAGAAGCTGCATCTGACATGTTTACATGTTTAATTACACTTATAGACTGTTTAATGCTGCTCAAAGGTGGCATGCATGCATTTACATGCATGCATTTTAAGTTATATAAATTATAAACACTGTTAAAAACAGATAAAAAAGGGTGCAAAGTACCATATTAATATGAAGAAATTTTCAATATTTATTTATTAAATTTTTTTTACAGGTATTTTACATGTATTTTGAATTTTGCACTTCATTGCGCTGTGTTTTAAGGTGAATGGAAAGTCTGTAAAATTACTGGATAATGTCCTGGCAGAAAATTACCAGCTTTTCTTTCTTTTCTTTTTTTTTTAATGGTACTGCAATATTATGACAGAAGTCTACGACGGCGTTTTAGTGCCACATAAAAAAAAAAAATCTAAGATTACGAGATTAAAGTCGTAATATTTCAAGAATGAAGTCGAAATTATGAGAATAAAGTCGAAATATTTCGAGAATAAAGTCGAAATATTACGAGAATAAAGTCTAAATGTTTCAAGAATAAAGTCGAAATATTACGAGAATAAAGTCGATATATTTCGAGAATAAAGTCGAAATAGCCTACTACAAGAATAAAGTCGAAATATTTGGAGAATAAAGTCGAAGTATTACGAGAATAAAGTCGAAATATTACGAAAATAAAGTCGAAATGTTTTGAGAATAAAGTCGAAATGTTTTGAGAATTTAAATCGTAGAAATTAAAGTTATAATATTTTGAGAGTATAGCCTTTAATGCGCATGCAAATGGCCCGTATTGAGAGCACCGGGAGAAGTTGCCAGGCTACCGGAATTGATTTGAATATTGTTGCGTCCGAGCAGCCGCATCATCTTACTGGGATGAGGAAGGGTCCATTTTAAGGACTCGCGGAAACAGCTTAATATCAAGAATATGATATTTATTAACAGACTGAACAGGGACAACTTTTTATCTTAACATCAGCTCACACACTCAATCTACATTCCTTTGGGGGGCGCTGTAGCTCTCTTATTTAACCCTTTTTTAATGCACTACAAATATATTTGGGATTGTTAGCAGAAATCATACCATGTGTCATACTCGTGTCACGCCACATTAAAGAGCGTGAAAAAAACACATTATTGTAATATTGTTTGTATTTCGCTATAAAACCCACAGATTTTGAAAACTGAGATTTTGGAATATCTCCCGGTGCTCCCAATCCGGGCCATTTGCATGTGCAAAAGGCTAGAATATACTCTCAAAATATTATAACTTTAATCTCGTAATCTTTAATCTCAATAATCTATTTTTTTAACGTGGCACTAAAACGCCGTCGTAGAAGTCAGTGTAGATTATTGCTCTTGAATTTTTAATAATGTCGATTAATATAATTAAAGAAATGTTTTTGTGTTTGGGGAAATGGCACGCCATATTTTTTTAGGCCACACAGACAAAGCAAGATAAGAACCATTTATGAATTAGGTTTATTGCTTTTTACACAATAGAAAATCAAGACTTCACATTATTTTACTAGCATGAAAAACAAAATGTTTCTTCAAACTGGAATGTTCCCCATCACTAAAGCGGTCACTGATTTGAGTCTATCACGAATTATGCATTTTTGCAAAAACTCCCATAAAAATCTTCAACATAAGTGTCTTCACTGCAAAATGAATCTCATTCATAATATGCAGTTTGTTGTTTAATGATGATAGAATTGGCAAAAGAGTGCAGACTTCACTTTCAGTGGTGACTAATCTAATCACTTCTGATTGGCCATTGCGTTCATAAGCTCAAGAGAAACGTGTGTGATTGGTTAGAATGCTGATGCAACATGAGCACATCTAAATGCAATGCCACAGTAGACACCTTTCTCACATTTCACATTTCACTTTAATCACAAGAGCCATAATAGAGTTAGTTTATTTGTACAGGAGTATTTTTTTTAATTTTCTTCATTTTGGTGGCATTTTTCCTCAATATATCACCGTGCTTTTTTATAACGACAGTGTGAAATGTCATTTGCACTCTGTAATGTGATCGTGTTGGTTACTATTTTTATTTCTCCCCATTTCGTCTTGGTTGTATCAGCAAATTGCAAGTTAATATTGATCATTTATTTGCATTTTTAATTAAAAAGCACAATAAGACCAGGACACATAAAAAAAAAAAATTTAAAAAAAAGAAGCTAAATTTGGACTTTAAAAGAGCAATTTAGTGAACTGAATGATATTAGCACGTACTGTACTTCCACTCTTTCATATAAAAGTAAGCAGGAGGTTTTTTTGCAGTTTGAATCATTAGCATAGTCCACGTTTCATATGGTGCGGTGATTGATTGAGGGTTTCAGGTTTTCTCGGAGAACACAGATAGTGCACACGACCGCTCTCCGACTTCTGTGCGTCCTTGCCAAAAACATCATCTGATTATTGCCATGCGTCTGGACTCAGCGCATGAATCATATGGCTCTGTGAAAGCGCTTAGCGTCAGTTCAGAGCCGTCAGCGGGAGATCCTCTCACAAAGCGTGTCTTTGTTACTGCTTCTTGCGCTCTAACACAACCCCAAATGCCCCACAGAGGCTCCCAGCTCCCCAGTGACTCGGGCACAAGCTGTGCTTTTTCAAAAACCAAATATATCCAGCCGTACATATATCCACTGTTGAAATGTATGGAGATATATATTCTTATCGGTTTGGAATGGCACGTATCCAGAGTTAGCTAGAAGTTTGAGGTTTGTTAGGGTGCGTTTAACTGTGTGAGTGCAAAGAAAATTGGTAATATGCAGCTAGATAAATGTCAAATTTATGATAGGATGCTACAGGTGTGAAGATAAATCATGTACTGTAATAATTCAAATGACATAACTTAATTGTGTCCCGGCGTCCATAATGTTTTTACAGCTAAAGTGTGTAATTTTTGCAGCATTAAATGGAATTGTAATGGAAATATGACTTTGAAATATGTTCTTTCTGTATATATCAGTTGTGATTAATGAGCTTAAAGTAAACCAGCATTTTCATCTCTCTTTTAACTCTAGCTGGTCGAAATTCATGCTTTCATGAAAACTCATGAAATGCATGCTTTTTGATGCATTAAAATGGTCAAAAGTGACAGAAAACACTTACATTGTTACAATATATATATATATATATGTGTGTGTGTGTGTGTGTGTGTGTGTGTGTGTGTCAAATCTAGTTTTTTTTATTAAATGCTGTTTTTAAACTTCATCAGGATTCTTTGATGCTGTTCATCAAAGAATCCTGAGGACAACAAAGCATCACAGTTTCTGTTGTCAATGTTTTCAACATTGATAATAATAAAAAAAATATATGTGATATACAATATGTGACCCTGGACCACAAAACCAGTCATATGGGTACATTTTTTTTTAAAATTGAGATTCATACATCATCTGGAAGTTGAATAAATAAGCAGTAGGAAATATACAAAATATCTTCATGGAACATGATCTTTACTTAATATTCTAATGATTTTTGGCATAAAAGAAAAATCAATAATTTTGATTCATACAATGTATTGTTGGCTATTGCTACAAATATCCCCGTGCAACTTAAGACTGGTTTTGTGCTCCAGGGTCACATATAAGAGACTTCTTTAAAAAAATAAAAATAAAAAAATAAATAAATCTTACCAACCCGAAACTTTTGATCTTACTACTTACTGAATACTGTGTCTTTTCTACTGTATACTAACATCAAACAGGAGTATGCTATATTATCACATGGCCTCATTATGTTGCATATTTATTCAGTGAATAGCCTACAGTTATGATCTATATTTTTTGGCAGTCTGATTAAGAAACAGATGTGAAATCGTGACTTCTGGCTCATCAATCACACTGGAACTGGAAGGTCAAGTTGAGTGCATTGCATCGTGGTATAAACTCATACAGTGTGCTTTGTAGCATACTGCACATTTAAAAAGAATATAGGTCATCTAGGCATAGTTCATGCATAATGAAAATTTCTGGCTGATTGTGCAGTATTTCGTATTTCATTAAATCATTTAAAAAGTACTCACATGAGCTTTTTAAGTCATTTTGAAGCTCTCCTGACTGTTTTTGCTGTATCTGTCAGTTGGGTGTCAACAGTGTGGTCCAGATGCTCTAGTTCCTGTGGGCGGGGCTTCAGAGAGAGGCGGGTCTCCTGTCAGCAGGTGGAGGCCTTGGGGAGCATGAGGGTTTTGTCCAGCTCAGCGTGTGAAGGATCTCGTCGGCCTGAAGACAGGGAAGAGTGCAGCTCACACGCGTGTGTGGAGTGGCTCACCGGCTCCTGGGGCAAGGTACGTTTACTGCCACATTTACATTCATTTTAACCTCTTTAGTGTGGAGCAATGATATAAAATAATGTATATAATTTGTGATATTCGTTTGATATCTGGCTATTTTTGAGATCAATAGCTTTGCCCGGTAGCCAATATAGCAGATATTCTAGATATTGATATTGATGGTAACCACTGAAAACCCATACTGGTCACCAATTATAATTATTTTATATTCTGTGGATTTACTGTTAAACCTTACCAAGACCATGCAAAGCTATGAGGTTGGTAAGATTTTTTAATGTTTAAAGTCTCTTCTGCTCACCTTGGCTGCATGTATTTGATTAAAAATATAGTAAAAACAGTAATATTGTGAAATATTACACACACACACACACACACACACACA